CTAAAATTAAATCGGCATTAAATAACAATCGATATTAAAACAAAATAAACCAAACCAATCATAACCAAAGAATACGTATCTTAAAGAATTATCCTAAAAAGTTGTCGGCATTAAATAAACCATTCGTTTGATATGCCGTAAAACAAAATAAACCAAAATCTCTAAACCAAAGATCGGTTCTATTCATACGATTGCTCAAATTTTGTCGGCATTAAATTAACCCATTGAGGTTGATATGCCATATAACCAAATAACGGAATATATTTATTCAATAGATATATATATATTTAAAATGAATTGTCAGATCATTTTGGAAGCTCAAAATATTCATAATTATGTCATTCATTTGTTTTCATTTGATAAACCCATCGGATCGCTCAGATTATTAATAAACAGTTTTCCAGATTGATGGATCTTGATTTCGAACTTTAAAAAATCGATAATTGATGGATATATAAATATATATATATATATATATATATATATATAAATATATTAAATCTAGAAGTCTTTCAACTATGTGGTACGCGATTTGATTGGATCAAGTCAAGTATTCTGCCAGAGAAACCATAGCTCTTCAGTTTGTGAAGAAGACCAGCATGTCAATCTGCTCCGAAATATCTGAAGGTAAACACCCAGACAATTAAGCGTTCTTATCTAACGCTTAATAGATAAATCCAGTAACACATCGGCGGTTAACCTAGAGATGCAAAAGACATAGCATTTATCTTAAAGAATTACGCGCGAAGTGAGATGCCTAAACCATTCGTTTTGTTAATTATTGACAAATATTTTCATATATATCTCTATATATCGGTATATTGCTCGCGAATATTCATCAAGTTAACGGAATAAAACATATATATATATATATAACGGAATGAGTTTAATAGATATATATATATATGTTTATTTTCGGACTATTCATAATATCATTTGTTTATTTTGATAAGCTTGCCAGATAAAATATAGAGAGATTTAAAAGTTTATAAGCATATATATATATATATATATATATATATATATATATATATATATTAAGAAATATAGTCTTAAGTGTGTGTGTATTTATGTGATAAATGTTGAATATCAGAGATAGATAGCTAATATAAAGCTAAGAACAAATCACATAAACGGATGTTTCATGGTAGATGCAATCGTCAAACGATGATTGCATCTATGCAAACAATAACAGTCGTACCAGTGTTGACTCCCCAAACATCCCCCGCATATTTATTATATATATATATCTATATATATATATATTTATATATATATCTTTACAATCTCTCTAAGTGAAACAGCCTCTCGTCTCTTGGTTTTATTCAATATTTTTAATGTTTATATTTATTACGCTCTATCTCTGACATTGAGAACATCCATAAATATAGTTTAAAATGGTATATTGTATCCTATATATTTATATATATATATATTTATATATCCTGTGTGTGTGTGTTGTGTGTATTGGAATAAGTCCTAATGAGCTTTTAACAACCCACATACGGATCTTCAAGGTAAGCTTTAAAAACTAAAAACTTAAGGGTCCCCAACTGGTCCCATTTTTGACATCCCCCCTGTTCAGATCAGTTTCTCTCTTCTTTCTTTTTGTTCTAATTTTTTTTCTTTCGTTTTATGCTAATTAGTTTTTAATGGTTTCCAGACTTAGCTTACCCCAAACATCCGTTTAGTTTACACATTTTTGTTCCTAACCGAATGTTTTATCCCTAGTACTTACCGTATAATATATATATATATATATATATATATATATATTTATATATACTAAATATATATATATATATATGGGTTCTATATCCTTGAATGGGGCAACTAGTCTAAGAGAAGGACAACTCTGAATTCAAAACCTGCGCAGTGTCGTTTGAGGTTATTCTGGTACGTAGTGCACCAGATCTCTGTATTCGGTCCTTCAAATGTGGTTGGTTCTGCACAAAGTCTTCTTTACCATTATAATCAAATCATATGTGCTGTTGTATGGACTGTCGGTTCCCAGGAACTGAGCTGCTTGACCCTCATACGTCGAATACGACGGGAGAGTCCACTATATATATATGTAGAGTTACTCTAAATAAATATTCTCAAAGATTCCAGTCACATTTTTAACAGCTTTTTTTTAATATATTTCTACCCGTGTGATATATAAAAAATACTTTCGTATATATATGGTGGACAATCAGTTAAGGAATCAGATGTAATGACATCCGTCTGAAAGCAGTTATATCGAATAAAGATGTTTAGCTGTACGGATACAGAAGGCGAGTATCTCCCTCTGCTGCAAATAAGTCACGTGACGGCCGCCTACTGACGTCACCCCATAGAGTGAGGATAGCAGCGGTCAAATTCTGTTCGTTTACAGCCAGCACCTCATCAGGTTGCTTTTTTTTAAACCCCAGCACGGTGCTGTTTCATTTTGTGAATATATCGCCCTAAGATATAAAATGAAACTTCAGATTCTCGATTTCCCATTTGTGGAATATATCTGGAATATATCTTCGGTAGGTACTTCTGCAGACACCAAAGTATCTCCATATTATTCCGAAGAACCTTCCTTTTTGGATCTATCTATATTTCTGAGATGAGGTATTATTATTGCAATATGAGCTCTGGTAAAAACATTGAATGACAACAGCAAAAATTGCAATATGAGCACTGGTAAAAAATAGTTGCTGAAGACATTAGGTTTATAATACCCAGAAATTCATATACAGATGTCCTCAATGGCACATGGGACAGTGGATAAAGGCGTTAGTTAGATCCAGTGACAGGAACCAAGGAGTGTGAGTTCAATACTCGGTTAAGGTAATAGAAGACTTGGAGAGGGGAATTAACAGGAGATAACTGAGATCCATTAGGCGAGAACAGGAACTAAAACAGTCTACCTAAGTGAGCGAAATAAAGGGTTCAGTTCGACATTCCAAGCACCTGAAGAAGGTCGGAGCGTACAAATGCCGAAACGTTGTAATAAAAATGGCGACAAAGATGAGAACAATAGTCCGAATAATGTAAATAGTGAACCTTCCTTTTTGTTTTTATTCCTTACACTCTCTTTTTTCGTGTAGATCTATGTGATATATCGTTCAACACATGGGACACTTGTATACATGTGGATATAGTTTGTGTATCTCTTTGTATAAAAGTGTCTCTGATAACAAAGTGTGTTTGTGATTTTTTTTTCCTTTCAGTCATTTCTTTTCCGTCCGTGAAGTATATAATAGTGAAAGGGGGAAATTAAATAGCTTCCATAGATTTCTCTCGTTTTCCAACAATTACTGGATCTGTATACCAAGTTCTGTTGCAATACATTTGACTGTTTTTAGATGTGGTTGTTTATCTTGTGATCTACAATGTGCTCTTAAATACATTACAAACATATCATATATGTATATGTATAGGATTGTCGAAGGTACCCGTCTTCTAGGGCGGCTAGTCAATCCCTATTACAGACGTTTGCTCAGGCGCACTTGTGTTTATTCAACAGACACCTTAGTTACAGTTTCTAAGAGTGTGTTATCTAGCGTGGTCAACAATTAATCAACAAGGCCAGTATGCTCAAGCCCTCGGCCACAATGACTTGTTTATTCGTGCTAGCACAGCTATAGACTGTCCGTAAGGGTTCCGTCTATCCAATATAAGTCACAAGGCTTGCTATGTGTTTTAAGGCACTTTTCAGTGCGCTTACGTCTTGGATCGACCCCTCCAGTCCGATAACATCAGGAAGTTCTTTCTGACAAATCAGACATGGTGAGATTTGGACCCGGTCTCATAGCCAGAATATATATATATATATATATATATATATATATATATATATATATATATATATATATACGAACTCAGGCGTCTCGATTCCTCAATCCAAGAACAGACTGGGTTCTATAGCCTTGGATGGAAACTGGTCTAGGAGAAGGACAACTCTGAATTTAAAACCTGCAGAGGGTCGTTTGGGGACCTTGTGGCACTTAGTGCACCAGGTCTCTGAATTCGGCCCTTCAAAAAGTGTGGCTGGTCCTGCACGAAACCTTCCCACTATAATCAAATCTCGTGTGCTGTTGTCGGGCTGTCGGTTTCTTTTGAACTGATCTGTTTGACCTTCATACGTCGAATTTCGACAGGAGAGTCGACTATATATATATATATATATATATATATATATATATATATATATTTAATTGAATACGACAGACAAGGTGCTTTTGATGTAGTTTAGTGTTTTTTGTTAATTTCTCCTGCGATCTAATATCTTTTTTTGTTTTGTTTTCAGATGCTACATGATATAAAAACTGTCCGAATGTTCTTTTTTACGAGCGCTTTCGGCTATACATTTAGCTAAGGATGAAATATTTTAATTCTTAAATAAGAAATAAAATAATAATTTTTAATAAATTTGAAAATGCCTAAATGTATAGCCGAAAGATAATAAAATCGCATGAGAAATTGGATAAAATGAAATGTGCTTGAAAATTTTAGGATTGCTTGCCTAAATATATATATATATATATATATATATATATATATATATATATATATATATAACCCGGATATAAAGAGTTGTCAACTACCGGAGAAGAAGTCTCTTATATCCGGGTTTGGTCTATTCTATATACATTAACACAGGCTCTAATTTGGGACCAGAGAAAATCTCTCTTATATTCGGGTTTCTCTTATATCCGGGTCTCTTATATCCGGGTTACACTGTGTATATGTATGTGTGTGTCTTAGTCCGTGTCTGTATATGTGTGTGTGCGTGTCTACGTGTCAGTTTATGTATTTCTCGTCGTCTCTTTTTATCTTTCTCCGTTCATCTATTTTTGAGTTCATTATGCAACCAAAGACGCAAACAAATTACCTATGTTGGCAAAATATTACCATTCAGTGTCTTCGGAGACTTTTTTCTTTTAAAATTTTTATTCAGGTTTTGGTTTCTTGCCGAAAATCTTCGCCTCTAGTCACAGAAAAACAAAATGAACGATCAACTAACTTCAAACACTTGACAGAACTCTAATTGTCCGATTCCGTTTTAAAATAACACGGGAAAAAAAGTTGCAAGCAGACAGAAATGCTTGACTCGAGTAATATGGCCACGGACGACACTCTGGCCAAAGGCCTCCGTGAATAAATTTGGTAGTGCTGGAGATAGAGAAGAAGAAGAAGAAGAAGAAGAAGAAGAAGAAGAAGAAGAAGAAGAAATAGCAGTATGTGGTAGAAGAAGTAGGAGGAGGGAAGAAGAAGTAGGATGAGAAGAAGTAGTAGGAGGAGAAAGAGGAGGAGAAGAAGAGAAGGGGAGTAGAAGAAGAAAGAGGAGAGGGAGAAAAAGGAAGAAAATTAAAAGGAAGAGGAGGAGGAGAAAAAGAAGAAGAAGAAGAAGAAGAAGAAGGGAAAGAGAAGATAAAGGAGAAGTAGCAGTATGTGGTAGAAGAAGAATTAGGAGGAGGGAAGAAGAAGTTAGGATGAGAAGGAGGAGGAGGAGGAGAAGGAGGAGGAGAAGAAAAGGAGGGGGAGTAGAAGAAGAAGAAAGAGGAGAAGGAAAAAAAGAAGAAAATTAAAAGATAGAGGAGGAAGAGAAAAAGTAGTAGTAGTAGTAGTAGTAGAAGAAGAAGAAGAAGAAGAAGAAGAAGAAGAAGAAGAAGAAGCAATGAGAATAAAGAATCTTTCGAAGTGGATAAAAGTTGTTCCTCTTTGGTGAGAGAGATCAGGGTTCGAAGGGAGAAGGAAAAATTAAAAAAAAAAAACAGTGTTATTTGGATGTCTTATTATATTGAACAATCTTAATTTCGAGATAAGCTTTACACTAACTACTTTTATGTGCCCTATCTCAACAGGATATAAAAGATCACGGCCACCACAGCTTCCTATAATTTTAAGATCAAAAAATATTTGTCACTTACTATCCCCCCCAGTCCTTGTGCCAACCATTTACACAAGCTTGTTAGCAAAGTAAATCTTTGTTTGCCTCCGCACCCTCTTACCTTAAATGTCTTGTGACCTTTCATCATTATGCGGCCCAGGAATGTTAAGTGTGCCTCTCTATACATATATCTCTCTATCTCGAGTTTTAATTCAAGAGTCCTATTTGTTTCCGTTACTCTGAAAGAGTGTCCAGATAGATAGATAGATAGATAGATAGATAGATAGATAGATAGATAGATAGAAAATAAAACATACTGAGATAGATAGATAGATAGATAGATAGATAGATAGATAGATAGATATAAAGAAAGAAAGAAAGAAAGAAAAACATACTGAGATAGTTAGATAATATACTGAGATAGATAATATACTGAGATAGATAGATAGATAGATAGATAGATAGATAGATAGATAGAAAATATACTGAGATAGAAAATATATTGAGATAGATAGATAGAAAATATACTGAGATAGAAAATATATTCAGATATATAGATAGATAGATAGATAGATAGATAGATAGAATATATACTGTGATAGATAGATAGATAGATAGATAGATAGATAGATAGATAGATAAAAATATACTGAGATAGATCGATAGATACATATATAATATACTGAGATAGATAGATAGATAGATAGATAGATAGATAGATAGATTGAGTCAGACAGAAACACTCTTCTGTGGGACCACATCTGTTTAGCCTTACATCTCTCTGTGATGTAATTGTCCAGCATTCATTGTCACATAAGAGGACTGATATATGGCTTTTCAGTACTTTTTTATTTGTTCCTACCAATTTTTCCCCATTTCCTTATGCTTTTTTTAGCATTTGGAAGACGCTTTTTCTTTCTATTTCATTTCGGGTATGGATTTCAGTGCCAATATTCCATGATCTATTAAAACCTTACACAGATATTCAAATTCCTGCATTTGCTTAATATCAAGATCCCAAAATAATAGCTCGTGTCTTGGGTTTTCGTAGAATTGATATTTTGTAATTCAGACTTATTGTTTTAGCTTACAGTAGAATAACTAACGACTGGATCAAGAAGTCTTTCCGGATATGAGGAATTAGTTACAAAGTCCGGATATGAGGGGTTATATTTAGATTAAAATAAAAGAACTGAAATCTAGTTTAACATTTACTTTCAATGTTTTATAGTAAACAAAATAAGCTAATGGTGAGTGAAATATAACGGAATTGGTTTTAAGGAAAAGAAATAAATTATGTAATGTTAATGAAAATTCATTAAATTAATTTTGCCACGTATGTAAAACAAATAATGTAACGAGGATTTTTTAATCGTTGCATAATGATTCATTTTCTTTTAATTTCATTCTCAACTTTTTTCGGCATTTCGTTTTGCTTTTGTTCTTGAAATTTTTTAAACGAAAGACACTTAAAAGAATCTGCGTGCGTTATTGCAAGCATCACAGCTGAATGCTGGTTTTCTTTCCATAAAACTGACAACCTTTTCAATAGCTTTTTCAATCAGTCCAGGTTTTATCAAAATCATGCATCTCGACGCCATCTTGTTGCAGATGTGCCTCATTGTCATCCTTTCCTCTTCTTCCCATCATCCTTTGCATCAATAGAAGCCATTAGGGTGAAATAAGGATAAGCAATTATCGAAAGTAAATTACCTGAAAAAAAGAAATTTCAAATCAGTTACATATCGCCCAAATAGTTCAGATATACACATCAAAACCATGTTCGGATATGCGAGATTCCGGATATGAGGCACTCCAGATATGAAGGATTCCGGATATGAGGGATTCTACTGTATTTTTCATTCTAACAGTCATGAGTGCTAAATTCCTCAAGCATTATTTTCTCATTGTATTTCCTAGAATGACATTGGAAGAGAATGAATCATCATGCAACGATTAAAAAATCCATGTTGCATTATTTGTTTTGCATACGTGGCATACTTAATTTAATGAATTTTCATTAACATTACATAATTTATTTCCAAACTAGAGGCCAACATCAAATCTCGTCGTTCCACTTATTTCAACAAGAATTGCCAAAATTATTGGCTTGCGAAATGATGACAAATTTTTTGAGTGACTCTGTATATATAAAGATGAATTATTTTGAATTCACGGGATGTTATTCCCTCTTCTTGGAATGCGCCTCCAAATATGATTTCTTTCTCTTCTAATATATACATCGCGTTTTTTTTCGATTCGGAAATATCAACAGGTGAACATATTTAGTCTAGATTCAAACTCAGTTTTTCTTTTCCTTCACCGTTTTTATGGAATCTGTTTCTTTTATTTATTTATTTTTTTTTGGTATGGTTTCACTACCAAGTATCAAATCCAGTCTCATCATTTTTTCAAGCCCAGACCCACACGTGCATTCAACATTCTTGTGCCCAGTACTAAAATAACAACGTCTCGATTTAGTAGTGGGGTGTTTTCTTCTTTCTTCATTCTTTTCTTTCATACTTTGAAATTTCTTTCGCTACCGTACTCCTCGAAGTGTTTAAGTTATTTTTCAATGGATATTTACTAATTCCGTTTTTTTATCTCTTGTTTTTTGTTATATTATTTTCCTCATTTTTTATTTATTTCGGGAGTTTAGAATTCTAGAATCCTGGAAGCGATAAATTCTTCGATGTTTTTTTTTTTGTTTTTTTTCTGCTGTTTGATTCACGTTTCCTTTTTCCCTGTCTGTTGACTTCTTTTGTGTGTTTATATTAATACATATATTTATTGTTTTTAACCTTTTTATGTCTTTTCTTTTTCCCTGTAACACTTTTTTTCTTTTTTTTTCATTGCCTCAACAAAATTCTTTTTTTTTTCCTCTCTTCCTCCTTTTTTTTTCTTTTTCACTGTCTCGCTTCCCACCTTTCTTTCTTTATCTTTTTCTGTCTACCTCCATTTTTTATTTTTTATTTTTGTTTTTCTTCCTTCTTTCTTTATATTTCTTTGTTTCTCTTTCTCCTTTCATTTTTTTTTGTTTTTCTCTCTTCCTTTTTTTTCTTTCTTTATCTTTGTCAAATTCTTCTTCCTTTTATATTTTTCAAAATTCTTTTTTATTGTCTCTCTTCTTTCTTTCTTTCTCTTTCTTTTTCTACCTCCATTTTTTATTTTTGTTTTTCTTTATTGACTTCATCCTATCTTTCTTTTTCTTTGTCTCCCTTCCTCCTTTTTTTTTTCATTTTCTTGTCTCTTTTCCTCCTTTCTTTTTTTCTTGTATTTTGTTTATCTTCCTCCTTCTTTTTTTTTTTTCTCTTTCCCCTTTCTTTTTATGTTTTTTTTTTTTCTAGAAATTTTAAATTCTTTTCCTTTTTATAAAAAATCTTCCGCCTTTATTTTTTTCTTTGTCTCTTTTCCTCCTTTCTGTCTTTCTTTCTTTTTCTTTGTCACCCTTCCTCCTTTTTTTTCTTTTTTTTCTTTTTCTTTTGTCAAAAAATTTAAGGAAATTTTTTTTGTCTCTTTTCCTCCTTCCTTTCTTTTTCTTTGTCACCCTGCCTCCTTTCTTTTCTTTTATAACACCCTTCCTCTTTTTTTTTTTTTTTCTTTCTTTTTCTTTTATAACACTTCCTCCTTTCTTTTCTTTCTTTTTTTGTCAAAAGGTTCCTCCTTTTCTTTTTTCTTTTTTTTTTTTTTTTTCACCCTTTTATTTTTTCTTTCTTTCTTTTTTTTTTTCTTTTTCCTCCTTTTCTTTTCTTTTTTTTTTCTTTTGTCACCCTTCCTCCTTTCTTTCTTTCTTTCTTTTTCTTTGTCACCCTTCCTCCTTTCTTTTTTTTTTTTTTCTTTGTCACCCTTCCTCCTTTATTTCTTTTATTTTAAATTTCTTTGTCACCCTTCCTCCTTTCTTTTCTTTCTTTTTTTTTTTTCAAAAATTAAGTTTTTTTTTTTTTTTTTTTTTCTTTGTCACCCTTCCTCCTTTCTTTCTTTCTTTCTTTTTCTTTGTCACCCTTCCTCCTTTCTTTCTTTCTTTTTCTTTGTCACCCTTCCTCCTTTCTTTTTCTTTTTCTTTTTTTTTTGTCACCTTTTCCTTTTCTTTTTCTTTCTTTTTTTTTTTTTTGTCACCCTTTCTCCTTTCTTTTCTTCTTTTTTTTCTTTTTTTTTCAAATTCCTCCTTTTTTTCTTTCTTCTTTTTTTTTGTCACCCTTCCTTTTTTTTTTTTTTTTCTTTTCTCTCTTTAACCTTCCCACTTTAATGCTTCCCACCTTTCTTTCTTTATCTTTTTCTGTCTACCTCCATTTTTTATTTTTTATTTTTGTTTTTCTTCCTTCTTTCTTTATATTTCTTTGTTTCTCTTTCTCCTTTCATTTTCATTTTCTCTCTCTTCCTTTTTTCTTTCTTTATCTTTGTCACCCTTCTTCCTTTCTTTCTTTTTCTTTTTATTTGTCTCTCTTCTTTCTTTCTTTCTTTTTCTTTGTCACCCTTCCTCCTTTCTTTCTTTCTTTTTCTTTTTTATTTGTCACCCTTCCTCCTTTCTTTTTCTTTTTCTCTCTTCCACCTTTCTTTCTTTTTCTTTGTCTATCTTCTTTCTTTCTTTCTTCTTTTTTTTCTTCTTTTTCTCTCTTACTACTTTCTTTGTTCTCTCTTCCTAATTTCTTTCGGCTTATGGTCAGATCCCGTTGAATGATCGGTTCTCGTACGACCACCGAAGTTAAGCAACGTCGAGGCTGGTCAGTTTTGATGAACGAGTTGTGCAATGATTTAAACGCACAGAATTTGAAATCCGGCTGACGAGTTCCAATTCCAGTCCAGTTCATAATATTCACTTACACTTAAATAGCCTCGAGAAAATTATAAGTACACCTCTTCTCCTCCCATCTATGGATTAAATAGTTGGACTTCTATTAATAAATCATTATTATCTCCGAAAAATTCTTACAATCGATTTAAATAATCTGCAAAGGGTTGATAAGCCGTAAAAAAACAGACTCTCCTCTAAAGTTCTTTTTACTGGGAAAAGTGTAGCATCTGCACATGGCGCTGCAAGAGGCTAGTCCAGTATGTCACAGGGGAGTAGAGCAAGATAACAGACAAAATACATGCCTCCTAACTGATACACTCCGCCGTGATTGTACTAACGAGACAAGCTTGTTAACCATTACACCACGCCGAACCCTTTGGAAAAGATAGGAATCCACCTCTTCTCCCCTAATTTATGGGTTAATTAGCAGGTCTTGTATCAATAAAACATTATTATCGACAAAGTAATATTAAATTCTAATGATATTTTCTGGCTTTAAATAACCTGCAAAAAAGGTTGATAAACAGTAAAAAATAAATGTCAATCCTATAAAAATCTATTTGCTACGAAAAGTTTTTTGGTTTGGTATTCGGGGTGGCGTCGGCGTATTTTGAAGCATCAGCCGACAGGTCAAGTTACTGAAAGCGTAGCAACAACACATTACGCGTTGAGAGTATAATCCTGCGCGTGAAAGGGAGTCTAGTGGGATAACTGACAAAATACCCGACTCCCTAACGATACACTGTTCGATCGTTAAAACGGTACGAAAATATTCACTGAAGATGTTACGTTTAATATGACTGAATTACTTAAGTCACAATCCGCGTCATTAGTGCAAGGAAGATAACGCAGGTGTAGCTTAAATTACAACCCAAACTTAAAAATAAATTAGGCTTATCATATATACAGATTAATTTTCTCGTAGTGTAGAAATAAAACTAGAGAATTTTTAGTCCTTACTTTTATTACATTTCCATATGTGAGTAAATATACTTTTCTGATTATTAGATTAATAAATAAGGTAATTCTTGAGGGATCGGTTTATTACATAATATCAATAGAAAATGAATCCCCCAATTTATGTCCAAAAATGATGACATATTTTTCTAAGCTCTTGCTATTATCATTAGATTTTCACATGTAACTAAACATACCTTTCTGATTATGAGATTAATATATATATATATATATATATAGAGAGAGAGAGAGAGAGAGAGACAGTAATTCTTGAGGGATCGGTTTATTACATAATGTCAATAGAAAATCGATCCCCCAACTTATGTACAAAAATGGTGACTTATTTTTCTAAGCTCTTGCTATAATCATTAGATTTTCACATGTAACTAAATATACCTTTCTGATTATGAGATTAATATATATATATACGCAGTAATTCCTGAGGGATCGGTTTATTACATAATAACAATAGAAAATCGATCCCACAATTTATGTCAAAAATGGTGACATATATTTTAAGCCCTTCCTATTATTATTAAATTTTCACATGTGAGTATATAAATATACTTTTCTGATTGTTAGATTAATATAGAGTAGCTTAGATGTGGCACAAGACCGAAATTAGGGGTCACCCAGTGAGGATCGAACTCACTACTCAGTCGTAACCGTTTTAACGAGACAAGCTTGCTAACCATTACTCCGACTCGAGGTTAGATTAATTATTAGATTAATATATACAGTAATTCTCGAGGGATCCGTTTATTACATAATATCAATAGAAAATCGATCCCCCAATTTATGACCTATAATGGTGACATATTTTTCTAAGCCTTTACTATTATTAATAGTTTTCACATATGAGTAAGTAAATAAATATTTTCTGATTATAAGATTAATATATACAGTAATTATCCAGGGATCAGTTTATTAGATAATAACAAGGGAAAATCGACCACCCAATTTATGCACAAAAACAGTACGATATATTTGGGTTTTATACACAATGGAAAATCGGTTCATGAATTTAATTCGTTCCTGAAGGCCGTTCATAACCCAAAGTGTTCGTAAACCGAAACTATTTTTCCAATAGAAATCAATGTCGTGAAAAAAAAGTCACAGAAGAATAAAACTGGGAAAGAAAAGCGCGGCAAAACTATACAACATGGCGGTCGACAACGTTGTTCGAGAACCGAAATTTTTCGATAGCCGAGGCATTTTCATGACGAATTTTCTGTTCGAAAACCGATTCGTTCGATATGTGAGACGTTCGAGAACCGAGGTTGTACACTATCGACTTAAGCATAAATACTCTTGGGAAAAGTATGAATCAACGTCTTCTCCCCCCCACCCCAGCTATGTTTTCATTAGTATGACTTGAATCAGTAAATCATTATTATCTCCAAAATAAATAATATAATGGAATATGCGTACACCTGTGTTCCTCCTCACTGGAATATGATTGACTGGTGTTCGTCATAAGTCTATAACGGCGCCCATTGGACTACGCCATTGATCTACACTTCTTACCTGTGACTACGACGCGTACCAGTCGATTACTGCTACCATATTCTACTTGGTTATAGTAGCCAAAACCACTTAGCTACTTCGTTCAAATATATCCCTTTACGGGACATATCAATATATATATATATCAATATATCAATATATTATATATATATATATATATATATATATATATATATATTCACTAGAGAGAGAGAGAGAGAGAGAGATACTGATATAATGGAATATGCGTACACCTGTGTTCCCCCTCACTGGAATATGATTGTCTGGTGTCCGTCATAAATACAGACAGACGTGTAGGAGAGTCAAGAGCCTTAGTCTGAGGGATAAGTCTATAACGACACCCATTGAACTACGCCATTGATCTACACTTCTTACCTCCGACTACGACGCATACCAGTCGATTACTGCTACCATATTCTACTTGGTTATAGTAGCCAAAACCACTTAGCTACTTCGTTCAAATATATCCCTTTACGGGACATATCAATAAACATACATTCTGATGATATTTTATGGCCTTAATTAACCCGCAAAAGTTTAACAAGCCGTAAGAAACAAATAAGTAAATCATGTAAAAATCTATTTGTATGGTAAGGGCATGATGCTATATGTCACAAGGTAGAATAGTGGGATAACAGACAAAATAAACGACTCTCAACCGATACACAGTATGATTGGTAAAACAAACAGTTTTTTTTTGTATTCACTTACGCATAAATACCTTTGTGAAAAGCATGAATCTACCTTTTCTTCCAGGTATGGATTAATTATTAGAACATGTATCAGTACATCATTATTATTACTACCATTTGGAATGCTTCAATTCAACAAGACTTCCACCAACCCTGCCTGTCGTAATTTTTTATATGTTTTCATAATAAAAGACATGCGATTTGATTACGAACATTTCTTTTTCGTCGTCACGTTTTAAATTTGTTTCCTACCATGGGTAACAGGTTTGCATCTAGTGGAAAGAATCTTTTCTATGTTTTAAATATTCACTCAAGCAGTGTAGGTGATCTCATAATAAAAATTTGTGGTGACAAAATGAGCATACCAGACACCGTTATCCACTGCGGGAGTCGATACCGCAGGAGACGAGGGTCCGTTCCAGATGCTCTACTCTGGAGAAATATAATTTTTGCAAGTCTTTATTTTTGTCTTGTCGATATATATCAAAGGTTAAAGGCTGAATACACTGGCACTCTTGAACATTTGCTTTTTCATGTAAATTTTAGAAGACTCACAAAGATTACACTGCGGCGGGGAACATTCAAAACATATTGCTATGAAAAGAACTTGAAAATGATTTTACTATGAAAACACATTGAAAAATAACTTGCTTTGAAAGTTCAGGGCAAATAATATTACAAAGAAAATCAATTGCAAATGATTTTAATGCAAAGTTGCAAATGATTTGACTTAGAAAAAGCAATGCAATTGATTTCAGGGTGAACATGCATTGCATTGATTTAACTATAAATATTATTTGCTACTGATTTTATTATAAAAATCCACAGGAAGGGATTTTACTATGAAAATGCACTCCGAATGATTTTACTATAAAATGCATTTAAAATTATTTTATTAGAAAAATGCATTAAAATTATTTTACTATGAAAATGGATTACAAATTATTTTAATATGAACATACATTACAAATGATTTTATTACAAAAATGCAATACAAATCATTTTATTATGAGAATGTATTGCAATGATTTTACTATAAAATGCATTGCCAATAATTTTACTATGAAAATGCATTGCCAATGATTTTTTATGAAAATGCATCGCAAATAATTTTACTATGAAAATGCATTGCGAATGATTTTACTGTGAAAATGCATTGCCAATGATTTTACTATGAAAATGCATTGCCAATGATTTTACTGTGAAAATGCATTGCCAATGATTTTACTATGAAAATGCATTGCCAATGATTTTACTATGAAAATGCATTGCCAATGATTTTACTATGAAAATGCATTGCCAATGATTTTACTATGAAAATGCATTGCCAATGATTTTTTATGAAAATGCATCGCAAATAATTTTACTATGAAAATGCATTGCCAATGATTTTATTATGAAAATGCATTGCAAATGTTTTTATTATGAAAATGCATTACCAATGATTTTATTATGAAAATGTATTACAATTGATTTTATTATTAAAATACATTGCAAATGATTTTATTATGAAATGCTGTACAAAATATTTCATTAAGAAAATGCACTGCAAATGATCATAGGTGTGTTTGGTGAATTTTACGAATTGTCAACTCATGTCTAGTATTTGACTTTGTATAGGTCCCCCAGTGATGAACAAAATCATTAATCAGTAGTAATGGTCAATATGTCTTGCTTCGTTAACCATTACCTTAAGTAGAGACACC